TTAGAATAGGGTTTTGGGGCCCAGAACATGACCTAAACCCAAGAATCCTAAAAACGCCAAACCCAAATCCATAACCCCTCGAACCCACGAAACCCCAAAGCCCGAACACACCCTGCAGAAACCCTCAAATGCTCTGGCTTGATCCGGGTTCCGGGCCCATGACACTTCGCTGGCCTCGCAACTCACGGGGATTAATGCACAAATAATGAGGCTTGATAACCAGGAATTAGGACAAGTTTTTTGTTGTTCCGTAAGGCTTCTTTAAAGAGGTCCTACAATGGTTTTAAACGGAACCCCAAATCCCAAAGCCTAAACCCTACACTAAGGCTTCATAGTAAGGCAAACCCTAAACCCTAAACGCTAAACCCCTAAACCCTAAACCCTAGCCTGAACCCTGCACCCTAAACCCTAAACACTAAACCCTAAACACTAAACCCTAAACCCTAAACCCTAAACACTAAACCCTGCACCCTAAACCCTAAACCCTAAACCCCAGGCCCTAAACCTAAACCCTAAACCCTAAACCCTAGGCCCTAAACCTAAACGGGGCCGTTCACAATCAGATTGAAAGTTCAGCAGTCTTGCGCGACAGGAGCAGAGAAGGATGTACTACGGCTGATGATCTAAATGCTGCCTTACCCATAACAAGGATTATATGCCAGATTCCCATGGTTTACCCATAATAATAAGGAGTATACCATAACAAGAGTTTGGGGTTACAGGGGTTATAGGCTTTAGGGTTTGGGGTATCCTGCATTACCCATCATAAGGAATCAACCATGATTCGCATAGTTTACGGTTTTTACAAGGTAGTGCAGGATTTGCATCATCAATAGTAGTGCCAGTTATTCTGACCCTAGAGTTCTGACCCTTTATTGTTTTAGGGTTCGGGGTTGACCCTATATGTTTGGGGCTTTATGGACTTGTCGGGTGTAGGGCTCCGAATGGTCCGAGATTTCGACAGTGCGCAAGGGTTTAGGGTTCTCTTTCAGGGTTTAGGGTTTAGGGTTTAGGAGTCCTACACCTACAATATACCCTACATGCACCCTTAAGGGTCCTTGTAATCCCCTAAGGGTCTATATTAGGGGCCCATACTTCTAACCTTCGATAAACCCTAAACCCTAAATGAAGGTGGGTTTAGGGCCTGAGGAGCTCTGTAAGGGTTAGACTTTAGGGTTTGGGGCTGTGAGCTTTACAGTGGTAGATAAGAACTCTAAACCCTAAAACCCCTGAAGCCCTAAACCCTAAAACCCTGAACCAAGTCGACACGCATCAGGGGGCTCAACGGGTAGGTTACACACCTTATGAGCTCCAGGACATGCCAAGGCTTCGTGGATTTAGTGATCAGAGGAAGGGTTCTTAAAGGCCACGGGCCCTCCAAGCCAGCTACCTTAACTACCATCGGTATGCATATATATATATATGTATATGTATAAACGTATATATATCTATATATATATATATATGCAGGTTGCAGTTATATTATTCTTTTCTTCTTCTTATTATTATCCTCACCATTCCTGTGTTAACGATACGTAAACAACCTCAACCCGCATAACTTTGGTCCTACCCGGGAGAAGCAGCAACCCTAGCTGAGCACGTGCCACGCTAGCCCGTCTCCTAAATCCCGTCAACCCCCAAATCCTATCTGTAAGGGTCTCAAGTACCTAAATGGTAGAAAGGTGGGTTTTCTGTAGGAGGAACAACTCATGGTTTCAGAAAGTATCCCCTATATACTTGGATGTTCATGGGTAGTTATAAGTGGGGTTATATGTCCCCTAATATGGGTCATAACTATAGTTACCCCACTTATAACCCCACCTATAACTACCCATGAACCTCCAAGTAACCCCAAAACCCTAAACCCCTAAACCCCTAAAACCCTAAATCCCCATGCCCTTTTAAACCTCTAAATCCCCTTTAAACCCTAAACCCTAAACCCCTAAACCCCCTTTAAGAGGGTTTTCCGGACCCTTTTGGGTACACCTTTTGACCAGGGGGATCCTCGGAGCCTGGCAGCCTTCAACCGCGCGAACCACAGGATTGCAACAACGGCTTAGGGTTAGGGTTTAGGGTTTAGGGTTTAGGGTTTAGGGTTTAGGGTTTAGGTTTTTATGGTTTAGGGTTTACGGTTTAGGGTTAGGGGTTAGGGGTTAGGGTTTAGGGTATTATAAGAGCCCAACGATGCAACAGCCTAGAGCAAACGAAATCCCCCAACAACGCTCCATGTCCTGCATCTCACCTTCACAAATCTCAGACCAATCAAACCCCCACAACATGAAGAATCGCCCCTCAACCCTGAACCCCTAAACCCCTAAACCTCTATAAAGCCCTAAACCCCCCTAAACGCCTAAACCCCTAAAGCCTTAAACCCTAAAGAACTCAACAGAAGTGCCTTGATCGAGTCGAAGAGCCAGGCCTTAAAGCCCTCGAACTCCTCCAGATTCGTAGCTTGAGGGCATGAAGGGGGGGGGGTCTTTAGGTTGGGCTTCGGGATTGTAATTTCAATCAAGCGCTCGGGCACCACCCCAACATTGGGTCACAAACGATCGGGGCCATAATTCTATGTAATGTAGGGGCCTTAGTAATTAGAATAGGGTTTGGGGTATATAGTCTAATATATCTATGATAAGGAACCCCACAAACCCTATTCTAATTACTAAGGCCCCTACATTAATAGTTCAACCCTAGACCCCGAACCCTAAACTCTAAACCCTTTAGGGGAGCTCAAGGAGCTCAAGATCTTGCTTGGAGCCCTCGGCAAAAAGATCCAAGAAGACATGCGGAGAAAACATGGGCTAGAAGCCTTCGTGCCAACATGCAGCCCAACACTACTTGTGAATTACAACAACAGTAACAATAGTAATAATAATAAAAAACACTACTGATCATCAAATTAACGAAAACAATATTAATACCATCAACCCTAGTGCTAATAATCATTTTAGATATCCTCGTCCCTTAAAAAAAAAAGGAAGATTGTATTTTTTAGCACTAGTGTTGCTGTTATTGTATGGGCACCCGCATCCCAAAGCAAGCGCCTCTTTGAACTTCAGGGCCCACTGATGGCTGAGGAGGTTCACGAAACAGTACCTGAGTTCCAATACCCAGCGTGCGCAAAAAGTATGTGAAAGTTAGGGGTTTAGGGTTTAGGGTGAGTTCCAATCCCCAGCGTGCGCAACAAAGTATGTGAAATCAAGCACCAAAAGACACTGTATGAGGGACTGAATAGATCTCGACTAAGGTTTTGGTGGATCGGAACCCTCGTTCGGTAAACCAGGGGAGTGGGATTGCTAAACTCTCAAGCCATGCCATGCTTCTTGTGGTCTGTGGTGACCTACCTTAAGAACTCAAAAATCTACTTTTTTGTAGGGTCCCGATAAATCCCTTTTTAGGGTTTATAATAAGAGCCTACAAAAAAGTAGGTTTGGGGTTCTTAAGGTAAGCTAAACCTTCTCAGTCGCGGGGGGTCTACAGGCATTGGCTTTCTAGGTTTTGCTTCTGCAGATCAGCACCGATGGTTTAGGGTCGAGGGATGAGGGGCCTTAATAATTAGAATAGGGTTTTGGGTATAATATACTATACTTATAATAAGCAACCCTTCAGGAATAATATAGGTAACTATTTAGGCTTCTGTATTACCCGTAGGCTCCACTGTAGTTCCTCTAACGGATCTATCAGGGTTCCTTTATGGGATCTATAAGGGTTCCTTTAAGGGATCTTCAAGGGATCATTATGCCTGTAGTCTCCATTGTAGTTCCTTTTGTGGTCTCCATATAGGATCCTACAAGGTAACCCCAAAAAGGAACCACAACGGAGCCTATGGGTAACCTGGGTTCTTAAGGAACTTCGTTTAAGCTGCCATAACAAGAATACGGTAGTATTTGCGAGAGATTCGTAAAGTGGTAACTTGAAATAAGTTCCTTAGCAAGAACCTACTTGGAGGTTCATGGGTAGATATAAGTGGGGTTATAAGTAAGGTAACTATAGCTATAACCCATATTAGGGGGCTTATAACCCCACTTATAACTGCCCATGAACCATTTGGAGGACATGCGTGGGAAATCTGATGATTTTGTGATGATGCAGCATTGCTCTGGCTTTCCGCATCGTTCTGATATGCCACTCGTGCCATGGTTCGGCTTCGGAGCGTACCCCGCCAAACAATGGTGCGCGCCTGTAGGAGCTGAGTTGTATTGGCTGCCTGTAGTAGCGATGCCTGAACTGGCCATGCTGGGCACCCCCAGATCGCCGCACCTCTTACCAGGATCTGCTGGAAGTTGAAGTCTCTCTTTACGAGGGGCTCTGGAACACAGCACTGTCTTGTGAGCATGGAAGGCTTTGCAAGCTCGACCTTGCAGTTCAGCAACTAGCGGGGCCACTGCTCCAGTCATGCTAATCGGGGCTCCCAGGATCGTCATGATGGCATCAGGTCCTTCAGGGACCACAGGGACACCCCCGATGTGGAAGCGGAAAGGGTCATCCGTGATGTTCGAGATGACCTGCGTTTTCCGGGGATTGATGCGAAGACCCGAGGCGAGCAGTCGCCGCTCCAATTCATGGACCACATTTTGGACGTACTCCGGGGGACTCTCCCCAAATATATATGTGTGTCGGACTGATTCGGCTTCGCAAGCCAGTGCATTTGGGATGGGCAAACGAGCACCAGATTGATTCATTCATCAAGAATCCGTGTGTCGTCCATATAAAGGCTGCTCCCGAATGCGGTGGTGGCTGCAGGGCTTTATGGCTTCCTACATGCGGAGGGGTTCCCCCGTTGACGGTCTGGAGAGCGGCGTCGAGGGTTCCACCAATTTCGGAAGCGAAAAGCACTGGGCTGTCCGGGCTACCCTGTGACGGTTGTGCCAGACAACAGAAGAGATCTCTTTGGTAAAGACCCCCCAGAAAAGGGACCGGGATTGTGAAGACACTCCGTAGACTTGAGCAGTGCAGGATCACCGCAATAAGCACCCCTTACGTTTCTGAGGCCCTCCAACCGTACATCCTACTCCCTTCACCCCAAGCCCCAATCCCTAATCCCTCAGCTCTTATACCCTAAACCCTAAATCCCTTTTGCAGAATGGAAAAGGGCCGATAAAAGACGAAAGCAAACCCTTCCACACGCTTTCCAGGCAAGCCCCAAGCTTGAATCCCTAAACCAAAAGCCATAAACCCCAAACTCCCTAAACCCCCAAAATCCTTAAACCAAAAACCCCGAACCCCCAAAACCCTAAACCCTAAACCCCAAAATCCTAAACCCCCAAAGCCCTAAACCCCAAAACTTTCTCACCACGTCTCTTAGGCCTCAACCCTAAACCCCGAACCCTAAACCCTAAACAAAAAAACCCTAAACCCTAAAGGCCTGGCTGCTCTTCGGCTGCCCGGAACTGCGGCCTCGCGCGGCACGGTCGGCTCCAACGGTGCACCATCTGATCCGACTGCTGCGGAGGTTCCGGGCTCCCATCAAAAAGGGAGGGCCCTTTGTATTCTTCCGGGTCTCCGGCTTTTCGTAGAGAGATTTGTACTCATCTCGGTCAGCTTCAAGAGCACGTCGCCTTCAGTACTCGATGCTTCTGTAAATGCCCCACGGCCTCCCTTTTTAAGGTCTCGGCTGGCGCACACCGTTGGTTTACTCTTGCACCTTATGCTTCTGGACGTAGGCCACCCGGTTACCAATTAACCAAAGAAGTTCACCACATAATCGCGACGACCGACTACTAGAACTCATAATCATACAGGGGCCTGGGTCATTCATTCGACAAGGATTTGGGTGCATGCTGCAGTGTAATTATGATAACAATTCTTCTGACCCTCAGCACCGCCTTCCATGACGACACCCTAGACCCCGAAACCCTTAACCCCTACACCCTAGACCCCTACACCCTAGACCCCTAAACCCTAAACCCCTAAACCCAAAAACCCTAAACCCTAAAACCCAAACCCTAAGCCGTGGCGCCCGAGGTTGACTTTGTTCTGGAAATCGATGGGCAGGTACACGAAATCATACTTCGCCTGCGGCCCAGAGCTCCAGGGGTTTCCATCCGAAGCCGAAGCCCTAAACTCCCTAAACCCAGAACCCTAAAAAACCCTTAAAGCTTGAACCCTAAACCTTAAACCCTAAACTTCCGAAGCCCCAAACCCTAAACCCTGAAACTTGAACCCTAGACCCTGAAGCTTAAACCCTAAAGCCTGAAGCAGGCCTTAAACCCTAAACTGCAACCCCCCCAGACACGAACACCTGCGGATCACCTTCGGGGTGGGGCCCACTGCAAACCTAAAGCCCAGAACCATTGAATCCCAAGACTTCACCACTCCACAGCCTCAATGACTCAAACCTCCTAAACCCTAAACCCTACACCCTAAACCCTCAAACCTACTACAGCCTAAACCCTGAACCCCTAAACCTAAACCCTCACACATACTACAGTCTAAACCGTAAGCCCTAAACCCTCAAGCCTAAAACTTTGCAACTCCACGACTCCAAAAGGTTTTGAGTTTGGGGTTTAGACACTTTGCAACTCCAAAAGGCTTTGAGTTTAGGGTTTAGACACTTTGCAACTCCAAAAGGCTTTGAGTTTAGGGTTTAGACACTTTGTAACTCCAAAAGGCTTTGAGATTAGGGCTTTCGGGTTTTAGGGCTCTTTTGAAACTTTGCGACTGAAAACCCTCAAGTCCCGAGCCCAAGAGCCTCCCCAGAACCAAAAGCCCTTGACAATCCCGTCACAAGGATTACGGTTTAGGGCGAGTCTTCCTAACCTCAGGGGTCGAAATCTAGCACGGGGTCTAGGGATTTAGGATGACGGTTAGGGTCAAGGCTGAGGGTTTAGGGTTTAGGGCTTAGGTGGTAGGGCCTGGAAACCCTTGGCGTCCAAGAGCTCCACCAGCTGGGTGGAAGTGTACCTGCACTCGCCGCAAACTGGAATGCCAAAGCACGACAACTTCGACGACAACCCCCGAAAGCCTGAACCCGTAACATTGAAGGCATGGCGTTGAAGCGCTGGGGGAATTGGAGCCGGCGAGATCAATGACTCCTGAACCTCAGGTTCCACATTCATTCCACCAATCCAGAATCCAGTTGGGGAATGTACATCTCTCATTTTGGGTTCTGAAATGTAATTAATTACAAAGCTCCGTAACATTGTTCATCAAACTGGCAGCTCAAGACCATGCACAAACACCAGACCCAAACTCCCTAAATCCTTTGCATTCATGGAGACGAAGCAACAATCGAAAACTGAATCCCTCCACGACGCTTTGGGGTTGCCCTCGCTCAAAGACAAGTTAAGTTCTTGTGCAGGGTGCCTACGAATTATAACTACGTTCTGCTCAAGGACAAGCGAGGCGAATGTGCTTGCACCCCTCCCCCTAAACCCTGAACCCTATAGACCCTAGACCCTAAACCCCAAACCCTGTCCCCTGCCAAAGCGGCGTGCCTGTTCGGAATGTGACGGAGCATGACGGTGGTCAATTCGCCTGGAAGTTCCGCCACATCGGGTCAAAGATCCCAAACGATCCCCTAAAATCTACACCCTAAACCCTAAACCCTAAAATCTAAACCCTGAACCCTTAAAACCCCATAATCCTATTTATGTGCCCTAAACTTTACCCCTGAACTTGGTCTGGGCACAACGTTGAGATTTCAATGAGTGGGTTGAAGATCAACCCCGTAGAACCTCGGAAGTGGAGGCGGCCCGGAACCAATCTGAGCCTCCCACCCCAAAAAGGAACCCTCAACCCTAAACCCCCAAAAAGGAACCCTCAACCCTAAACCCTAAACGCCCTGAACCCTAAACCCTGAACCCCTGAACCCTGAAAGCCTAAACTCCTGATAGCATTAACCCGGAACTTCCCGTATCATAGCTTATAGACGCGATTGAATAAAGACAAACCGTAAAGCAGTCTTCATCTCCACAACATAAGCCCTAATGTAGGGGGGGTCCTTACTATAGTTATAGTATAATGGGCCCCGAAACCCTATTCTTATAACCCTGAATCCCTGGCAACCTTTGGAAATCAACAAATAATTATTTCTGTGAAAAATCTGTGAAAAATCTGTGAATCCAGGTTTCCAGAATCTGTGAAAAATCTGTGAATCCAGTTTCCAGGAGCGAAAAATCTGTGAAAAATCTGTGAATCCAGTGTCACGGGATCTGTGGAAAATCTGTGAAAAATCTGTGAATCCAGTGTCACGAATTTGCGACGTGCTGCGCGCCAACGCGTGATGTCTTAGGCCGCTGCGCGCAGGTGCAAAGGATGGAAAACTGACTATACGTGAATTCCTGTAGATTGACTCGGACCACGCTTATTAAAGTGACTATTAACTATTAACTTTAAAATATTAGTGACTAGTAAATAGTAAGTATCTAGCAACTAGTAACTAGGACGTAGGAAGTAGAGTGACTATAGTGACTAGTCTTAGAGTCTTAGAGTGACTGGACTAGACCAGTGACTTGTGAGACTACTGACTATTGACTAGTGGCTAGTGACTCGTGACTTGACTAGCAGCCATTAGAACCTTAGAATAATAAGAATTAGAATTTAGAATCACAAACGTCACTAGAAACTACACACACACACACGCACACTAGAATCTAGAATCGAAAGTCGACTAGAATAGAATCTGACTGGTGACTAGTGACTAGAATCCTAGAATCTAGAATC